TCCACACTAGGCTTTTGCGATGGCCCAATGCCCCTCTGGTTAGGCTGGCGCCTACCCTGGGTGTACCTATTCCCTGCTTTCTTCGTATTGCCTTTCCTATCCCACTCGCTCCTTCGTTCTCGACGAACATCTTCACTCCTCCATGAGATTCTCTTCCCTGCAGACGTCTTCTTCGGTTCGTGGTTGGGCTCATCCACCTCCCTGTGGCTCACCTCACCACGGTGGTTCATCTTGCACCTACCACTATTCATCTGGCCGGCATAGGGTGCACTGCGTCGTGGTTCCTCCACTCTGCCCCTCACTGCCGTTCGCTCATCCACTGAGCTTACTTTATTCACGTTTCTGTATGGAGGGAGTGCGGTCTGCAGCCTCCTCACCGCCCCAGGCGTTTGTACAGCTGCTCCTCGCCACTCCTCCACACGCATCATCAGGCTTAGTCGGAGGTCCCCGTCGGGGTTTTCCACAACCTCCGACGACCTCTCTGCACTCTCGCCCTCGTTGTCGTCGTCTCTGGCGACGTTTTCCCTGTCGAAGTCGGCTTCCTCACTATTATTTGGAGCGACTGATACCTCACCTGGCAGGGTTGTACCGCTGCTTGAAACATAGGCACTCCTGGCCCAATCGGGTTGTATCCTGCCTCCTCCGAGGTCATTACCCAGCACCATCTGCACATGCTCTAGGGGTAACTTAGGGGCTACAGCTACTATAGCTTTCTCGACTCCGCAGTCGGCAATCAGCTGTACTTCGTGAAGTGGCAACCTGTATTCCTCCCCCACACTGCGTATCCTCACCACTCCCACAGGTGAATCATTAAATTCCTTGGGGAGAATACTCCTGGTCACCACACTTATGTCAGCACCCGTATCTCGAAGAACGGCCACCTCCACTGGGTCTGACTTTCCAAACTTCACGTTGGCCTCGAAAACGAAGGGATGTTCACCCAACTTCATTTCCCAACCATTCACGTTGGGTCCACTATAATATGGGGTGTGAACAAACACTCTCTCCTCTTCCAACATTAATCCTACATTCCTATGGTGCTCCTTACACTCGCGGGCATAATGTCCTCTCACGCCACAGTTGTAGCATCGGCTGCCTCCCCTGGGCGGCCACTCGCCAGTCACTCTGGCGGTACCACTTGCAGACGTCCCCTGGGTCCTCCTTGGACTCCCTGTCGTCGTGTCCAGGACTGCAGCACTCGCTCCCGAGTTAGGTCCACTGCTCACAGCTTGGGGCTTCCTCCCCGCGTCTCTTGAGCTCTTGAACCACGTTACTTCATCGGGCACACTGCTCTTGGGAGAGTCCCCACCCGTCCTCGCTCCTCCTGAACTCCTAAGGTTCCCTCCCGACCTGGGGTAAGGCGAGTGTCTGGGCGGCCCCTCCCTCCTGATATGTAGTGCCTCCTCCAGCATGTCGGCTCGATCCGCTGCAGCCTTCAGGTCCTTAATACTGCTTCTCTCACCCTTACTCGCAACTCAGGATGGAGCACTGACATAAACTTCTCCATCACTATCAGTCGTTTGATATCATCCACCGACTCCGCTTCCTCCGCCTTCAACCATCGTAGGAATTTCCGTTCCATATCCCTGGCGGTCTCGGCGTAAGTCTTTCCCGACGCTCTTGTACACTCTCTGAACCGCTTCCGGTACATCTCCGGAGTCAGCCGGAATGAGTGGAGAACCGCATTCTTAATCGCGTCATAACTAGTACACTCCTCTAGGTCCAGCATGTTATAGGCTTCCCGGGCCTCTCCAGTCAACCTGCCCTGGACCAGAGCAGCCCAATCATCTTCCGGCCACTCCTTCAGAGTCGCTATCCGTTCAAAGTGTTCGAAGAACGCCTCAGCTTCTTGTGGTTCGAACGTAGGTAAGTCACGTTCCCTTACCTTGGGGTCATCCCGCCGTGCAGGTAGTGAGGGCAGACCACGTTCAACGCGACGCAATTCGACTTCTTTCTTTGCCTTTATCTCCTCCAGTCGCAGTTGTCTCTCTCCTTCTTCTCGCTGCAGCCGAGCTTCTCGCTCCTCTCGCTGCAGCTGCAGCCGTGCTTCTCGCTCCTCTCGCTGCAGCTGGGCTTCCAGTTGCATCTTCATTATTTCCAGTTGCAGGCTCCTCTTACTACAGCTGGACCTTCCACTGCTCCCATGTTCACTGTGAATTCTCTCCACACTGGTAGGCGCTTGGGGTGGCCCTAGTCGGGACGGTTCACCTTGCGACGGCTCTCCTCGGGACGGCTCCTCTTGAGATGGCTCCTCTCCCGTCGCTTCCTCTCGAGCTGTGAGCTGTGCCATGATCTCTATCCTTCGCTCCGCTACCTTAGTCGTCCTCAACCTGATCCCAAAGTGGTTTGCCACTTGTTGGAGCTGGGCCTTGGTACACTCTTCCAAAATTCTCTCGTCCCTTGTGTCAATAAATTTCTTTACTTTGTCTTCCTCCATCTCTATATCATTGAGCATACACGACAGCACAGACAAGTTAGTAGGCACTAATTTCACCGTTTCAGTCCCTTAGCTGGTTGAGTAACAGTACCACCGAATTCACTGGCCACACTGTATTAGTACCCTGGCAACACTTGTCTTGCAATTTGGTCCACACTGTAGCTTGATCCACGCTTCCTGGCGAGGTTCCCAGTCCTTGGCTACTGGGGTTCGAATCCTGGCGAGGTCGCCAGTTCTCTTGTCACGTGGGGGTGGGCGGCCCGGGGCTCTGCTAACACTCGGCTGCTAGGGGCTCAAAGGGCCCAAATACTCAGCCCCTCCGACTCCCTGGATTCACCGGAGTCTCCTTGGTCACACAAGATAGGACCAACAATGCCCACCTCCGCAGGTCTTTGCTTCCACCACAAAGGGGTGCCACTGATTCACCCTGGAAGCCCTTCAGTCAACCACGGGGAAACTGCTGTTAACAGTTCCGGCCTAGACCCGTGGGGGAGTGAAGGAAGACTCAGGCTTACCTATAACCATAGCCTCTCTGAGTCTTGCCTGCCAGACAAAAAAAAAGGTTGCAGGAACTCCTTTCCCGCCTGTCTTCTCTATCTTCCTCTTAGCAAGGTCGCCAGCTGGGTTATTATATCTGCACCCCAGCAATGCAGTTCAGTGGGTGTATCATATATCGTTTGTAGCCAGAAATGTATGCTCATAGAGAAATATCACAAATGGAGGCACACTCAAACACAGTAATAAAATGTGTGGATTTACTGACGCAAATTACATGAACACACACACGCAATCACAAGTAATACATGAATATGGAATATGGATGATGAGTCTGGAGATCGTCAGCCTCTTCTTCCACGACCTCCAACTCTCCTTCGACTGGGCAGGAAGACAGGAGTCTCACACTCTCACAGGAGGGCCTCTTCACCACGTCGGCACCTCTTCTTCACTGTCCTGCCATCCATACACACTGTCCTCTCTGACAGTCCTGGACACAAGCTGCCTTGCAGCCTATTCTACTATTAAAGTAATAAAGTCTTGCTGCCACATACACAAGTAAATATTGTGGCCTAACTAGCCTACTCATACAAGGGGTAATGGGAGGGAAAAATGATCTACCTTACACTCCTGGCTCACGACGCCTGTCCCTCGATGGTGTGAGGTCCCCACGCTTCCTTGGGTCGATCCTCGACGATCCAGGGCGTTCCACAGGTCCTCAGGTGTCGTGAAGCCTTCGCGTCGTCGCCGTTCCAATCCCTGAGATTCAGCTGCCCCAATCCTGGTTCATCGATGGGCGCTGAGCTAATCACTATCTTTCCCCACACTCGCCTCTCCCACAGGGCGTCGCTCCTTGTCCTAGGCACGGTGTCGTCCTTCCAAGATTCTCAGTGGATGTGACCCCAGTCACAGCTAGCTTGCTCGCCCACCTTCCAGACCTCAACGTCCAGCCAGCGGCGCCGCCCAGCGTCGTCGCCGACTATTTTCCAAGTTTGGGCACCTCTCTGCTCACTGAACTTGGTTCCTCTTTGGCTTCCCAGAAGCGCAGGGTCTCCAATAACTATGGTGGGCAACGAAGGCCAGCTCAATCCACTGAACAAGGCTTGCAGAGCCTCCAATCCTTGAGAGCAGACCGAGGCGCGTCCTGTCGCTTCCACGGTCAGTACAACTCTCACGTTGGCGCCGCCCGGGGCACTCGGTGACGTCATGGCGGGCCCTGATTTGTCGCCCGCGACCTACGTCGGCCAATCCGCGATCGGCATAGTGTCCCTTCCACAAGGTCATATCTGCCGTAGGGGATACTGTTTCATTTTATAACAGGGCGCCAATTTTCCTTTATTTACAACTTATAATATAACCTCCTTCCATAAAATGGCAGCCAGTCTGGTCGCCACATATATCATTAGACTCCCTGAACCTCAGAGAATCAGTAGGGAGAGCTGATATGACTCTTTAAGCCGGCAAACGAAAGAAATAGGAGAGGGCACCGTAACAGTATGCAGATAGATTTGCAGCAGATTAATGTAATGAAGGGGAATTAGATTAGCCCAAAAGAAGGATGGTGTGGGGAAGCCACGGCAGCTGAACAGGGTGTGTATTCATGACCAATAGGCCAGATTGGAGCCGTTTCCCCAAGTAAAGGTGATGTTGAACCCCCTCTCAGAGTATACAACGATTTCAGGGTGAACCTCCAATATGCACTCCTGTGTCCATCACTGATTGGTTGACGACAGCAGCAGTAGTGCAGTGGTTGATTTAATTTTATCAGGGAAGTAGTAGGGAGGGGGGAGGTCTGTTTGTTAGTAAGTAAAGTTTAAGTAAACCAAAGCTAAGTATCAGTTTATCAAATCTTGATATGATACAGTATACAGTAAAGTTGCAGAAAGTATTAATCGAATGATGCAATAATGGTAATGAAACGTTCTGCAGTGTTGTAGATGCGGTGAGGCATTCCACCACTTACTGTTGCTTGAGTCAATATGTTATTACATGTCATCAGGTTTGTCCAAAGCTTTTGTGTTGCTAAATTTATATCGGTTCAATTGTCACTGTATGCTATATCTTGCAGGCAAAATTCCTCGAGTTTAAGATCCAGAACATGGTGGGCAGCTGCGATGTGAAGTTTCCAATCAGACTGGAAGGCCTTGTCCTCACTCACAGCCAGTTTAGCAGGTGAGTTATAATCTGCATACTTTAGTTTTATTCCTAAGGCTAACGGTATGTTGCGGTTGAATTGATCCTCCACCCTGTTAGTTTGAATCTCGTTGCTTGGGGCTATGATCTCCAGGTTCTTTGCATGGTTATTTATTGATCATTTGTGTGCCATTAACTTTCTTCATTCATCTCGACTATGTTTCAGGATTATCTTCCTAGGTGCTATTTGTCATTGACCTTCAACCTCCGAGATAGTTTTCTGGAGGGTGCACCTTCAGCTACCCGGAGCTATCCGGGCTGACATGATTGTATTAGATCCTGGCATCAGTCAAACCAAATAGTTTTTAGGCCTACTGGGAACCATGAGCCAGAACCTGGCCCCCTCTGAGAAGCACAAGGAGCAATAGCCTATAGAAACCCCGCGTGTGGGTGGAAGCATTTTATGTCTACAAACCCTATCTGGTTAAAATATTGCTACTGAAAACCGAAGTGATGGACAGAACTCCCCAAACGAAAAATGAGCAAACGAGCATGATGTCGCAATCATCACCACGCTGCTGTCTGCACAGCTCCCCCCTCCATGGGAGGGGAAGGGGGAGCCCCAGACCCCTGCACCGGCTGTCCACACCATAAGTTTTTGGCTGATGTGTGACCTGGCGGGTCATGCGACCCTGGCTCCAATCCTTACAGTGCAGTGCCTTGTAGTGCGGTCCTGTCCAAGTGGTGGTGTGCGAGCCATTAATAGTTTCATCTGTACTTGGGTGGCATGCGCCTAGGGTTACCTTCCCTAGGTGCCCTGTAAGTACTGCCCTTGTGGCTTGGGGTTCTATTCCACAAGTCACTTGGGGGCTACCTCAAGGTCTTTTGGTCTTTTGAGGTCTTTTGCTGCTTGGTGATTGCCCGCCCTTTGGGTCAGCTGGGGTGTTTCATGCACTACTGATTGTCTCCGAGTAGGAGTTAGCGTCATCACTGGTAGGGTCGCAAAGTACTGTGCAGCTGTTCTTCATCCGATTATAGCGGCCGGCACTTCTGCCTGGGCATGTTGTACTCGTACGGGGTTTTTCTTTTGTTTTTGTTTTCTGCCTGGTGGAGGGTTTGCCCTTGGTGTTGTTGCCACTTGTATATATATATATACAGTATATATATATTGTCTTCTTGGTAGTCCTCCACTAGGTCCCCATGTGTGTACATGTCCTGGGGGTTCAGCTATTAGTTGTTTTGCTTTGTAGTTTGTGGTGCTGGCTAGCAGTACCCTGGGCTTCACTTAGCAGAGCGTCTAAGGGTCCTGGAAAACTCCACTGGGGCTCAGTGGTTCGATGGATGCGTCCCCTGGGTCCCATCTCACTTCGTGCGAGTTTGAGGGTTGCTCTGTCCCCTTGTCTCATGGTGACAATTACCTGTTCTGCCTCTGTCATGCTGCCTGTTAGGTCAGTGACACCTTCAACCCGGAGTCCTGTGAGTGGTGTTGGTTGCTTGCTTGCTTCTCCAGATCACCCAGTCTACTGATATTGATATTCGGGTGCAGGCAGCTTCATCGTTGCATGCACATTGTAGGATGCTGCAGCGCGCTAGGTTGGTTGCTTGCCCAGATATCCCGAGACTGCCCTGTTTTGGTTATAGGGACCCGAAATTAGGGGGGCTGGTCGCTTTGACTTTGGTTTCGTCCGCACCTTCAGGTCCTTCCCCTGCTGTTGTTTGTCTTGTTCCTCCTTTCCTCTGCTTCTGGCTCCGAAGTGTCTGAGGGTTTTGGAGTTGGGGCAGGGTTTGGTTGGTGTTGAGAAACTGGCGGTTTTGGGGGATGCCCCATCCGGTGTGATGACAGCATTATTCAAGCCCGTTCCTCCAACCGGTGCTTCTGGGTCTGACCAGTGGGCCCCCTTCGTTTCAGCTTTTCCAGCGGCTTCTGCCTTTTCTTTTGAGGCAGGGAGCGGGACTACTATTTGTTTTTTTCCAGGCATATTCCTGCGCCTCTGGCTGGCCCACTAAGTGTTGCTTGTTTCTGTTTTACATGGGCGGAGTACGAGTATTTATGACTCGTATGGTCGCTTCAGTAAGAATTTGGCCCATGTGTTACCAACTTCTGTTCTGTTAAATCGAAGTTGAAATCTTAATGGATTTGTAACTCTGCACTGTGTTAGATAATGTTCCAGTGGTCTGTCTGGCATTTCTCCACAGTGCTGACATTTCCTCTCATCTGCTGGAACCTGTAAGCCTATTTCCCATGCACATGGGTATCCAAGCCTGATACAATGTAAGTGTACTTCTGTTGTTCTACTGCTCCCTTTCATCAAAATAAGTGGTTCATAGTTGGTTGAATTCTTGTACCAACCCACCAATCCTGATGTTGCAACTGCTGTGTTGTGGTCACTACATCTTTTGCATTGCTCCATTTCTATTTACTTTCTTAATCTGTGGTATGTAAATGTTTACATTTCTTCTCTTAGGTGCAAGTTTTGCAGCTTGGTCTGCAATGTCATTTCCTATTATTCTCCACTTGTTGGTGCAGGGTGGGGGGGTTTTCTTATCCCCCCTCCTTGTACGAGTTTGGTATGGCATCGACCCCTCCCTGGATTTGATTCTGGGTTTTCCTGGGTACTTCGGTTCCTTCCTTTTGGAGGTTTTCGGCCTCCTACATCACGCTGCATGAGGTGTGGGAGGCCTTTGTGGCTTACCTTCTGCACGACCTGGATTATGCCTCAATAATGGATCCTGCTTCTTTAGAGTTCGGTTCTTCTTTTTGTTACTGGGTTCATTGCGAGGTTCCAGAGCCATCCTGGTTGGCAGACTGCCCTATCTTTTTGTTGGGAGCGTAGCATACTGTACATTCTGTCAGGTACTCACGCTTGAGTGTAGAGAGACCCTTATGTTGGTTCAGGTTTACCAGGGGGGTGAGTTTGAGTGCCTCTGCATGTTTGTTCGCCCCCTTCCCTTCCACGGGATGTCGGCCTTATTTAGCTTCACGTGCAGGTTCCTTCCCTTTCGGCTGCCCTGGTTGTTGAGGACTTGCACGCCCATGGCCATTTGGCCTTGGGACATGCGTTTCATTTTCTTTCTCAAGGTGTTTTCTGACTGGCTTGAGGAGGATGTGGAGGCGCTTGGGGCCAATGCTGGGTCTGTTGCTCTGGTCTCGGCTGTGCGGGCATGAGTTGCGCTATTGAAGCTGTTTGCTTCGATCTTGTGGGAGGTGTGTGTGTTCTTTGCGTGCCGACAGGTGGAGCTCGCTCAGTCTGTGGAATCTGCGTGGGCCCTGGCTCTTAGGTTTTCTATGCCTTTTTATCCTATGCTGTTTGCAGAATCTGCAGTGGTGCAATATCTGCAGGTGGTTCTACAGGGTGCCCGCTGGGGGTCTTCCTGGAAGGGGCGTGCCAGGACTCGAGGGTTCCTCTCATCGTGGTAGGACAGTGGTGCCGGTTTTGGAGCCGGCGCAGCCTTTGGAACAGATGACGACTAGTCGGCGCTGTGATCGTTATGCTTGTAAGTAGGCTTCACTTAAGGAGTGTTGGCCTTTTCATGGTTCGTGCCATTGATGGGGCGATGGGGGAAGGGGGGAGGCTCATGCTGTTTACTTACACCTGGTCCCATGATTTATGGGCGTTTCAGGTCGTTTCTTGCAGTCTGTAGTGGCGTTGGGTGGCCCCTCCTCCTTCTGGAGGTTTAGAGTTGGCGGGGCAGGCTTCTTCTCCTGCGCTCTGTCGGGTCATCTTGGAGTGGGTTCGCTTGGGTTTGGTCGAAACGACCTCATCTCTCTGGTGGGTTTCTCGTCTGTTTCCAGTTACAAACAGGACTGCACGGACCTGAGGTTCATTCTGGACTTGTCCCATCTAAACCCCTGGGTCTATTACCCTTACTTTCAGATGACTACTGACCCAGGTCTGTCTTCGTTTGGAGCTGGGTGCTTGGATGGTGTCACTGGACCTCCGGGATGCGTACCGGCACGTCTCGATTCATTAAAGGTTCAGGGACTGATTAGGTTTTGTTGTAGCGCGTCAGGCTTACCGCTTTTGTTGCCTTCCTTTCGGCTTGAATCTGGCACCTCGCATTTTCACATGCCTTACCCGGGTTGTGGTGGTCCGTTTGTGTCTGTTAGGGGTTCGGGTTGTAGCCTACCTCGACGATTAGCTGGTGTGGTCTCCCAGCCAGTCTGCGTGTCTGCTTGCCAGGGTTTTGGTTCTTTCCCAGCTCGCCAGGTTCGGGTTCCTAGTGAACTGGAGGAAATCCCATCTGGGTTCTTCTCAGGTTCGGTCTTGGCTGGGTATATTGTGTGACTCTCGGACCACTTCCTTGTCTCTCCCTCCTGTGGCTCTGCTGCAGCTGTGGTCTCGTCGTTGACTGTTTCTGGGGGGCTCCTGTGTCACAAGGCTGTTGCTCGAGGGTTTGTGCGGGAGTCTGAACTTTGCAGTGATGGTCTACCAATCGGGTAGGGTTTGGCTTTGTCGCCTGTTCTAGTTCCATCGGGGATGTCCCTTCCACTTCTCTCACGATCGCTGGGTTTGGCCTCTGAGCGCCTTACATTGGCTGTTGCATCGCCGGCTTTCTCTTTGGGTTTTTTGTGGTTCACTGCCTTGGTGCCTACCCGAGCCCTCACTTAATGTGTTCACGGACGCGCCGTCTCTTGGCTGGGGCTTTGTGACCAGTGCTCGTCAGGCCAGCCAGGGGCAGTGGGATCCGTCCTTCCGTCGGACCCACAGCATGGTGTGGGAGTTCGCGGCAGTGTGGCAGGCACTTCGGAGAGTTCGGGTCGCTCGAGGATCGACGATCCTTCTCCATTCGGACTGCTTCCCGGCGGTTCATTGTCTGAACCGTGGGGGTTTAATGCAGTCCTTGGCTCTTTGGGGGTGGTTGCTTCGGGTGAGTCATCCGTCTTCAGAGTTTTCGGGGTTTGGCTATCCTGGCCGTTCACGTTCGGGGGTGGGGTGGGGGGGTGGTTCGGTCCAACGTTCTGGCGGACAGCTTGTCTCGTTCATTCCCCTGTCCACAAAATGGATGGTCGACTCGTTTGTTTGACTCTGCCGGACGTGCAAGCTCCCAGAGGTGGACCTATTCACCTCGGCCTGGTCAAGGCGTCTCACAGTATATGTTGAAAGCTCTTCCCTGACTGCGAGGCCATCGGGGTCGATGCCTTCAGGCAGGGCTGGTCGAAATGGGGGGTTACCTGTACCTCTTTTCCCCGGTTCTGCTGTTACTCCAGGTCCTAGCTCACTTGGAGAAACCAAGGGAGAGTAGACCTCTTCGCCCCTTGGTGGCCGGACCAGCCTTGGCTCAAGGCGCTGATTGCTCGGTGTCCGAACCTGAGGGTTTTCCCTGAGGCTTCGCTTCTTTCAGCAGACGTGGCTGGTTCAATCTTCTCCTCAAGTCTTCATGTCTGTTTTTTTCTGACATGGGGTCTATCACCATTTACATGGTGAGCAGGTGGCTTCGTTGATGGTGTCCCACCGGTGTGACTCGTCTCGGCGGCAGTATGAAGTTTCTTGGTGGTCCTTTCATTATTTCTTGCCCCCTGATAGGTCCGTCTGATGGGGTGGGTGTGCGTGTGTGTGTGTGTGTAATTACCTAAGTGTAATTACCTAAGTGTAGTTACAGGATGAGAGCTACGCTCGTGGTGTCTCGTCTTCCCAGCACTCTTTGTCATATAACACTTTGAAACTACTGACGGTCTTGGCCTCCACCACCTTTTCACTTAACTTGTTCCAACCATCTACCACTATTTGCGAAGGTGAATTTTCTTATATTTCTTCGGCATCTGTGTTTAGCTAGTTTAAATCTATGACCTCTTGTTCTTGAAGTTCCAGGTCTCAGGAAATCTTCCCTGTCTATTTTATCAATTCCTGTTACTATTTTGTACGTAGTGATCATATCACCTCTTTTTCTTCTGTCTTCTAGTTTTGGCATATTTAATGCTTCTAACCTCTCCTCGTAGCTCTTGCCCTTCAGTTCTGGGAGCCGCTTAGTAGCATGTCTTTGCACCTTTTCCAGTTTGTTGATGTGCTTCTTGAGATATGGGCACCACACAACAGCTGCATATTCTAGCTTTGGCCTAATAAAAGTCATGAACAATTTCTTTAGTATATCGCCATCCATGTATTTAAATGCAATTCTGAAGTTAGAAAGCGTAGCATAGGCTCCTTGCACAATATTCTTTATGTGGTCCTCAGGTGATAGTTTTTGTATGTAGAACCACCCCTAGATCTCTTTCTTTATCAGAATTCTTTAAAGATTTCTCACATAATATATAGGTTGTGTGGGGTCTATGTTCTCCTATTCCACATTTCATAACATGACATTTATTGTGTGTGTGTGTGTGTGTCTGCATGACGTGTGTGTGTGTCTGCATGACGTGTGTGTGTGTCTGCATGACGTGTGTGTGTGTCTGCATGACGTGTGTGTGTGTGTGTGTCTGCCTGTCTGTCTGTCTGTGTGTCTTTCTGTGTGTCTGTCTGTCTGTCTCTGTCTCTCTCTCAAGGCTCTGCCTTCCTTTTTGTTTAGCCTGGGGTTGCCCTAGGTTATCCTTATCCTGCTGCACAGGGCTTGTTTATTGTATGCAAAGTGTGATAGCTTTGCACTTTAGGGCATGAAATATGGTTTGAAGTCCTAGCGCCTGTTTTCTCAATGGGATGCTCATGGTTATTGTTGCGTGTGCTCCAAGTCATGAAATTGGAAGATAGGTTAAAAACTTTTGCCTGCCTTTCTTGGTGAATCAGATACTTTTGATATCATTTGCCTTGTGCATTTCTGTTCTCATATTGGCATCCTTGGTGATATTTAGCGCCCTCTGATTATTCTGCACATTTGATGGTGCTACATAGCCTTCCCAGTTTAGTGCCATCTTTTGATAATTACTTAATTACTTTTGCCTGTCTGTTCATGAGACAGTGGAATGTACACCTTTCTTATGGAGTTCAACAGTGCAATGGTGCAAATTGTTCAGTACTGTGTGAATGAGAACTGAATTAGTTATGCCTTATAGTGCATATATGAGTTTCTATGCTGTTGGTGGTAAGGACAACCATTTATAGAACATAGTAAGTGGGATTCAACACCCTAGGGGTGTTGGGTCATTCTAGACGGTGCCCATCTAGATCCAACCCCTCTCCCTGATGTATCTATCATGTCTATTTTTAAAACGAGATACACTTTTTGACTTCGATGATGGATGGCGAGCTATTCCACTCTTCTGCCATCCTGTGCCAGACAAACAATGCCCATATCCTTTCTGGATCTGACCTCTTCAAGGTTACAACCATTGTCACAGGCTATGAATTGATCTGATGGTTTCAAGACCTTGATTATGTCTTCTCTTGCTCTGAACCTCTCAAGATATGCAGTCTGAGCTCCCATAACCTCTCCTTGTGCAGGGTGCCTGAACCCCAGGAATCAAGTCTGGTCTTCTTGCGTTGGATTTCCTTAAGGGAATAGTTGTCTGTTTACTGCTGATGCTTGTGGTTGAAACCAAAGCAGTATACTCATTTGTTACAAGTGTTGATACAGTGCCATCTAGGATTTAAGTTATAGTATTACCAGTATTTATCACAAAATCTATTTCACAACTGGATTTACAAAAATCTGCATCATTCATAAAGTAGACAGTTCTACTGTAATATCTCCAGTTTGACTTTATGGTACCAGGATTAACATGGTAGCTACTTACCCATTCAAACTTTTTTTTTTTTAGCTTTAGTTATAAAAAGTGGGTGGGTTAAAAAAAATTGTTTTGCTTTAATGGCCAACTTAGTTATTTCTATTTAAATTTAAACTTTAAAGAGGCCATTTATATGCTTTACAAAATAATTGCTCTAAGTACTTTGAGTATTAGAGTATGAAGTGAATATATAGCTTAAGAAGGTTGGATGAATATTGAGGTGTCCTTGTGTCCCCCAGCTACGAACCTGAACTGTTCCCGGGTCTCATCTACCGCATGGTTAAACCTCGTATTGTACTTCTCATATTCGTGTCTGGCAAAGTTGTACTCACAGGTAAGTGTTGTGTTGTGTTCATCAGTTTAGGCAGCTTTTTACTGCATTAAAGCAATTTAAACAGTCATGTTGATCATAGAAGTAATCAATATTTAGCTCTTCTTGTAGAGGCTTTGGCATGTATGTAATTGCCCTGTACTAACTATATACAATATTGCCAGTTATCTGTACATTTACATTGAACTGAATCAAATGCAGTAAGCAGATTTTAAATGAACTCTTGTGTGGGTAATTTTGCAAGATGGCATAAGAGATGGATGAGTGATGTGCTACTTTCGTGGTAGCTACAGTACAGTATTTGCAAAAAGTCTTTTCCCGATTTGTCATGCATATTGCACTGCAGTACTGTACTTAAGGGACAGTTCATGTGTATTTAAAGATGTTTAATTATAAATGGCAGCTCTGAGTATCTTTAGATTTTCAGTTTGTATACATATGGGCCTAGAAATATCAAATTGTTAGTTTATTCGGTAACACTCGACCGTTCAACACTACTGCCAAGTTAGTTAGGCAGCACAGGTTACGGCTCATTCTTAACACCTTGCACGTTGCTACTCTGAGACACAGCACAGGAGTTTGAAAAGGTTCATGCTCAACACTTTATCTTTTTATGTTTTTATTCTTTCATTTTCTGTTGATGCTGCCTTACCCTATGCTTATTTATGCAATAGTCATGTTGAAATGACTGCGTTGATAAGGCATTCCATTCTCTCAGTTTACCGCTATATAAACATGCAATATATTAAGTGATTGGATGGGTTGCAGTAGTTAGGGCTCTTGAGTAGCCATGTATCCCATTTACTGGTGGTGATCACGTTGGACGCCCACTTTATTCGGGTGATTGCATTGCACGGCCACTTTATTGGGGTGATTGCATTGGATGGCCACTTTATTGGGGTGATTGCATCAGACAGACTTTACTGGGTGATTGCATCAGACGGATACTTTATTTGATGATTGCATCAGACGGACACTTTACTAGGTGATTGCATCAGTTGGACACTTTATTGAGCGATTGCTTTGGACAGCCACTTTACTGGGCGATTGCATCAGATGGACAGTTTACTAGGTGATTGCATCAGATGGACACTTTATTGAGCGATTGCATTGGACGGACACTTTACTGGGTGATTGCATCAGACGGACACTTTATTGAGCGATTGCATTGGACGGACACTTTACTGGGTGATTGCATCAGACAGACACTTTACTGGGTGATTGCATCAGATGGACACTTTATTGAGCGATTGCTTTGGACAGCCACTTTACTGGGTGATTGCATCAGATGGACACTTTACTGGGTGATTGCATCAGATGGACACTTTACTGGGTGATTGTGACGCACGGACACTTCACCCAGTAAAGTGTTGAGTGTGATCACCCAGTAATCACATGGGATGGACACTACTGGTGCTGATTGCCAGGAGACGGACACTGTACTGGTGACCATTACTCTGTCCTATTTATATACTGATTGCCCTCAAGAGATTGAAATGTCATTGTATTGTATTATATCTTTTCCAATTTCCATCTCAATCTAGATGAACAATGTTTGTTACCGGTTTTCCTCTTTCCTCTTGTTGGTCTATTAGGTTGTAATTTATGAAGTGTATAGCTGTGGTATCCAGCAGTTATGTGCCACAAGTCATCCCCCATGATGTGGGGGGGGGGAGTGACCTTTGATGTTAAACCAGTTTTCCCTGTTTAACCCTTAGAGAGCAGTTATCATCATGTGTTGATTCACGGGGGAATGAGGTTATCGTTATATGACCATTTAAACAATCATTGTCTGGGTTTTACATGTATGATGCAAATAAGGATATAATGGGTCTCTGTGGATGTAAAGGAGTTTACCTTGACCCATGGAAAAATCTCGCTATCAATTCATGGTTATGTTACTATACTATGTGTAGTTACTATAGTAGGTGTTACTATATGAATACGGTTATCATGAATGTTACTAGATGAATGCAGTCATTGTTATTGTATAAAATTCCACCATAATTACATAAAATGTATTCCAAAGATGTTCATATAGCATTCACAACTCTGTATGGTTGTAATGAGGTATACCAGGTAAATCAATTGTCAATTGAACCAGTATTGTGTTAGATGTACTAGGAACTTGTCGGCAGCCAACCCATCCTCCTGTTTACAGAGCACTTTTTGTAACTATGTGCACCACCGTACATACATAGATGTAATGGACAATTAGATAGTAAAATTTGTTACTATTCACTTTATATAGTCAAAAAAACAAAAAACAAAAAACAAACTTAAATGTTCTTAGGCCTAGTATAGCACACATGTACTATATTAGGCCTCAGATAGTGTGTGTTAGGCCTAGGAAGGCCATGTTAAGTTTTCTTTGCAATCTCGGTAGAAACACTTTTCCGGTTTGTCCAATTCAGTAGTGCCGATTTCTACTTTCTAATTGCCTCTTATGTCAGTGTACAGGGGTACCTCGGTTTAAGAGTTTAATCCATTCCTGGAGACAGCTCGTATTCCGAAAACTCGTATTCCGAAGCTAATTTCCCCATAAGAAATAATGGGAAATGAATTAATCCGTTCCTGACTATCCCAAAAACCCCACATCAAACTAAATTTTTATACCTAATTCATCTAAATAAACCTACAAAACTATGTTCAAGTTATTACTTACCCTTGCTGAGGACTGCTGTTGGCTGTATGGAAGATGTGAGGAGGAGAAGTGTTACTGTTTGGAAGGGAAGTCCCCTTCCATTATAACATCAGGCAGTGAGGACTTCACTGGTATGCACACTCTGGCACATGTTGCCTGCATACCACTAGGACTTGCTTGTTTTACTAAGAATCTGTCTAAAGACACTTGTTTTTCCCTACATTTTAACACTTGTCTGTAGTAAGACATCACATTGTAATTTAAAAGGTCAATGCAACGGCCTGCTACAGCTTTATCTGGGTGAGTTTTTTAAAAAAAAACTTTGCAGTTCTTCCCATACTTCACACATTTTCTTAATCAAGAAGGGACATCCTCTACTGCCTCTACTCACAGCTATTTTCTTAGGGTGAACCTTACCAATGGCTTTCTTGAGACCCATGGCTAGATATATAATGACAACTTTTATGCTCAAATGGCCAAAAAAACGACAAAAAACTAAATCCTTGTGAAGAATTCAGGTGGGATAGTCACTGGGCACGAGACACTGGTAAACTGAGGCGCGATCGCCATGCCACCATGCGCTAGTCGGCCTGTACACATATCAACAAACTCGTGTTCCGAAGTAACCCTCGCCTTCCGAGGCACATTTTCCGAGCAAATCCTGCTCGTATTCCGAAAAACTCGTATTCAGGGACATTCGTATTCCGAAGTACCACTGTATGTACGATGGTAGTCATTGTTTCTGTAGGTACTACCTAAATAGGAGGATGGGCTGCGTGATCTGTGGGTCAGACATTGGTGGCATACACCTTTGTTTCACTTTATACTCTCGCCCATATGGTGCCAATTAGGCCATATGTCATGGCCCAGAAGCTTACACCATTGTATGTAGGCTATATTGTATATTATGTTTATATGCTTTCCAATACAGTACATTGTTGTAATGAAGTATACCAGGTAAATCAATTGTCAATTGTAACATTATCATGTGTTATGTGAGTTATGTGATTTATCAAGTTATTCAACACACATACTCTTGTAAATAAAAAGAAACAAGTGATAAATAATCAATGAAACATCCGAGAAGAACACAGGAGTTGTCTGGCATACCCGTGTCCACAAAGTCGGCCATCGTGTGTTGACAGACGCCAGATCACAGCCACTGCGCAACCATTCAGAGCATCTACACCCAGTAAAAAAGATAAATATCCACTTATTTTCATGTGATTCTTGTATTCTGCATGTTATTAATAATTCTATAATGAAAAAGTATTTAATTTTTTTTATTTTTTGCTCATAGGAAGGATTGACCATATTTCTATAGCCGCTGTCTAAGGGTTAAATCATCACGTGTTTGGAGCTTTGACCTTGCCACAGTTGCTGCTCCCTTTATGACCTTAAGGTTATCTTGAGATGATTTCGGGGCTTAGCGTCCCCGTGGACTGGTCCTTGACCAGGCCTCCTTTTTGTTACCCCCTCCCCCCTAGGAAGCAACCCGTAGCAGCTGTCTAACACGCAGGTACCTATTTACTGCTAGGTAACAGAGGCATCAGGGGTGAAAGAAACATTTTGCCCATTTGACTCCGCCTCCGCCAGGGATCGAACCCGGAACCTCAGGACTACGAATCCGAAGCACTGTCCACTCAGCTGTCAGGCGCTGTGTATATGTCTATCATAGTCTTTCTTGGGTTGGCATGTGTTTATCATGCTGGGCTGACACACAGGTGTCAGTCCAGTATGATTCTCATGCTAGGCTTGTACTTCAGTGATTCAAGGGTTATCATGTTAAGTTGGCACTATAGACATGGATTTTGGACTTTACATCCTACTAGTACTTGGCACCCTATAGGCATTATTATTGTACTGCTCTTGCAATCCAATGATGATAATTAAGCCTTCAGATGTTCCAGTACTCTCATACTTGCTTTTGAAACCGAATGATGATTGCTTCCGCCGCCTCCTGGTTGAAGATTATTCTGCTTGTTTACCACTCGCTGCACATGAGTATTTCTATACATTTCATTTATATGTACTTCTGTCTGTGCCTTCTTGACATGTTGCCTGAAGTCTGGAACGTTGTGATCACATCGCCTTGTGTCTTCTTTCATACAGTGTCAGTAGTTTCAGCACATTTAGCGTGGCCCTCATAGCTAATTTCTCGTGTTTGTGGCACCTGTCTTGTGGCAAATCATTAGACTTTCTCCATTTTCTTGTGCTTTATTGGGAGAGTATTCAGTGCTGGAGCTACTTGGTCTTGAACTGGCCAAACATATGCTGTGTATAAGAGGTTGAAGGATACCACAGACAGATTCTTGAAAACCATTCTTGTGTGTATTTGCAAACCTTGCATAACTTGCTG